AATGGACTCCACTGATACAGCAAATCTGTATATCACTTGAAGTGTTGAAGTGTGGAAGTGTGGAAGTGTTTTAATATGAGTTATATTCTCATGTGAATTGTGAAGTATGTGTTATAGTCTCATTGCATTGTTTGGCCAGGTTCTGAGCCATAGTTATGAATCAAAACTGTATAAGTGAAGGAAACTGAAATGAAAAATGGATGTACTTGATATTGAATTGAAACGCGTTGTAAGTTGGTTTATAAGTGTCAACCATATATCAAATGCTATTGTTTTAGTTATTTCTCATACTTAGTTTAGCATATCTCTACTAGACATTGACTCACCCTATATGGGATATCATTTTTAGGTTCAGGTGATATGTCACCTCCAAGGACATAGCTTGAGAGGCTTAGAGGTTGAAGATCCCTTTTTGTTTTTACCTTTTTGTGTATTACATGTAAATTCAAGCCGAAGGCTTAACGTATATGAGTTAGTACTCTATTTTTTTGTAACCAAGTGTTGGCTTGGAAAGTTATAAGCCTTTAGGGCATTTACTTTTGTTGTCAACATGTAATACTTTTGTGATAAATACTCTGATAAATAGATGTACACTTTATTCTCTTGAATATATTGTCAATTTCTTGTATCATGAATGTATGAATTATAGGTTTATTTTGAGGGCGTTACAACCTATGACTCCTACAACATCATCTGGGGATATATCCACACTTGATATAGATTCCACAATGGAGTTGTCTGATATATTGCCATTTCTGTCTACTTTTTCCACTTGTAAAGCCCCACACTAATCTTCATGGCAATTGCTGACATTTTCAAGTCTATTGGGACTTTTATGATTGACATTTTCAATTCTCTAGTTCGGACTGAATTTTTTTTGGGTTGGTCCAGAGAAATTCTTTAGTTTGGATTGAATTTTCTCTGGATTGGTCCAGAGAAATTCTTTGGTTAGAATTTCTTTGGATTTTTTAGAGAAATTTTAAAAATTTCTCCGACCTTCCCCTAACATTTCCACTCTCCAGAGCAATTAAGGCCTTCCCTCTCTCCAGAGAAATTCCCCTTTCTATCACTACAAGAAAATACAGATTTCGCGACTAAAATAAATTTTTTCGTCGCTAAAAGTAGTACAAATGGCGACTAAAATGGATTTAGTCGCCAAAATTGGTGACTTTTGCCGACTAAAAGAGTTTAGTCGCCAAATACAAGGCTTTTAGCGACTAAAAGGCAGTTTAGTCGCCCAATGTGGGGGTTTTAGCGACTAAAGGTTGTTTAGTAGCCAAAAGTGACAGTTTTTGGCGACTAAAATAATTTAGTAGCCAAAAGTGATGGTTTTGGCGACTAAAAAACACATTAATCGACGATTGTTGGTGTTTTGCCAACTAAAAACAGTTTAGTCGCTGAAAGTGAAGCTTTTTAGCTACAAAAAAAAAATTAATAGCTAAAAACAGTCCATTGCCGACTAAAATTCAGTTTAGTAGCCAAAAGGGGACGTTTTTGGCGACTAAAAACAGGTTTAGTCGCCAAAACTACTTATTTTTAGGCGAAACTTAATTTTTTTGCTACTAAATTATAATTAGTAGCCGAAAATGATAGAATTGGCGACTAAAAATTTAATTTAGTCGCCAAAAGTGACCTAAATTTTTTTTTAGTAAATAATTTATTTTTTACATAAAGTATATTGAATTAAAAAAATTATATTTATATATATTATTTTGTATTAATAGCGGTTAATATACTATATAAATAATATATATTGCATATATATTAATGTGATGATGTTGTGGCATAGTGGAAGGAGTGTTGGGCAAAAGGTTTGGAATGTAGTGGTGGGATGTCTGAGGTTCGAAACTTGCGAGTAACACAGGTTCAAATTTTTTTTTTTTAAATATGCTTTTGGCGACTAAAACAGGTGGTCGCCAAAAGCTTTATTATTGGCGACGAAAAAAATAGTCGGCAAATGTATAAATTAAAAAAAAAATCCACTATTGGTCGCCAAATGTATAATTTAAAAAATATAAATGAGCTTTGGCGACGAAAATTTTAGTCGCTATAGAGTTTGTTTTTGGCGACTATAAGTGGGTTAGTCGCCCATACCTTCCGCGACAGTTTTCCAGCGACAAACATGGCAACTAAAAAATTTAGTCGGGAAAACCTAAAATCCGACTTTTGGCGACTAAAAAATCACTTTTGGCAACTAAAAATTTAGTCGCCAAATGTGTATTTTCTTGTAGTGTATCTACACAATAATCATGGTTTTAATTTAATTTATCTATGATTTTTAATTTAATTTAATTCTTATCTTCTTTATTATTATTTAAGTAAGTTATGATAATAGTCAGAAATGTGATAGACATGTAAGTTTTATTGATTTAAAGTATGATGGTATGAGATATTTTCAAATTAGATTTGTTTAGATAGACTTTAAAGAATTTTAAAATTTAAAATTGAATATTAAGAGGCAAAAGAAAGATTTTAATTGAATAAATCAAAATCATATTTATTAATTTTATCTGTTTGTATGTTTGATTTTTAATTTAATTTTTTTTTGGGTTATGTTATAATATAATATATAAGATATAGATTGGTACTCACAATTCTCATGAAAAATATTATCTGATTTTTTGAGGGAGAGAAAAGGAAGACAGATTTTAATATTTTCTTTTAGAAATCAATGACAGAAATTAGAATGGAGAGATTATTAAATATTTTTGTTATCTTTCCATTTGAAATTCATAAATTAAGGGATAACTATTATTTCCAAAATAATTAAATAGGTATGGAAGAAATTGAAAAGGGTGTGTATGGGAGAAGTCATTAAATGTTGAGAAATTTCTTTTTTTTTTTAAATCAAAAAATTAAGATTGAAATATTGAATCTCCGATAAGACTTGTGAGTTAAAAATCCTTTTTTCCTTATATAATATATAGATAGATATAGATATAGATACATATATAGATAGATTTGATTTAAGGGCATAATTGTTTTTATAGCAATACCTAAGGGTGTGCACAATATGATTCGAACGGTTTGAGAATAACTCATATCATAATTAACATCAAATTTAATCAATTGTTCTTAAAAAAAAAGAATAAATTTACCCAGAAAAATAAGTCTATATTCAATTTTTATATAGTAAAGTCTCACTTTGAAAATTTTGATAGATTTTTAAATAAAATTTTGAATAATATATGTTTTTGAATAACTAGTGTCTTCATGATAGTAGGAGAGTTATTATGGCACAAGCATCAAGAATTAAATTCATTGATTATGAAAAAATATTCTAACAATTTTTTTTAAAATTAATCGATAGAATATACCAGTACATAACTAGAAGTCTAGCTCAGTTGATTGAATCCCTAACTCTTGTGCAGCCTAAAAATAAATAAAAATAAAACACATGAGGCTCTATCATAGACTTGTAGGGCAATAATCGCTCTACAATAAACTTTCGATTTTTTTAAAAATTGAGTTTTTTTTTTTTATCTTCCATATTTATATTTATTTTTTTATTTTTAGTGAATATTTTTAAAATTTTAAGTAATTTTTTTACTTTTTTAGATGCATCTTATTTAAATATATCTAAAAAGTAAAATATTTGTAAAAAAAATATTTTAAAAAATCAATAAATACACAAAAATACAAAAATGTACTAAATTTTCTTCTTTCTTTTTTTTTTTTGCATTTTTGGTATTTAGTGAATTTTTTAAAGATTCTATTCACACATATTATATTTTTTTTAAATGTAATTATATTAGGTGTATCTAAAAATTAAAAAAATTACTGAAAATATTTTAAAAATTCAATAAAAGCAAAAAATACAAAAAATAAAAACTTTAATTTTTTTAAAAAATGAATCCTGAAAAGTAAACAACTTTTGCATGTTATCCCATATGTAATACTATACATTTGAGCCAGGACTCACATTAGTTTAATTCTTTTGAATTACTAACAGCTAAGATTATATTTGTGAATTTAATGAGATTGACATTTTTAAAACTGTCAGTTTTTATATTATTTGTATTTTATATCGTATTCCAGGCTTGAATTGGCTTACGATTATGATAATAGATTTGAAAAAAATCCTATATTTATAATGTATGAGATAAGTTCTTGGAAGCTCACCAAAAATATTGATTTTGCTAGAAAAGTCGCTGGAAAAGATAAACTGTACCGCAAAAGATGAATTCCTTTAAAAATAGAACGGAGAGGCCAGAGATTTGTTGACAACCAAAATAGATTCAAGAAGAGATGGAGAGAATGGTGATTGGGTGAAAGATCACACTACAACAATTTACACGGTTGGTGACCATGACTAAACTTTTTTAATCGCCAAAAGTTGTAGAATAGGCAACTAAAAATTATATTGGTCGCCATTGAATATGGTTTTTAGTTACTAATTTTTTTTAGTAGCTGTATCTTCATTATTGGCAATTAAAAAAAATATTAGTCACTAAATATGAACAATAGGCGACTAAAAATTATTTTAGTCGGCATTAGATCATGTTTTAAGCTACTAAAATTTTTGTTAATTGTGGTACACCAGTTTTTGGCTACTAAAATAAACTTAGTTGCCAAAACTTAGCATAATGTTTGCTATTAAACTTTGGTGACCAAAGTTTTGGTCAGCAAATATTCATTTCGGTGACTAAAAATTTTTTAGTCGCTGTAACGTAATTTTTGCCCACTAAAACTATTTAGTCACTAAATAAAAAACATAAATTTTACTTTTATCTTTGGTGACGAAAAATTTAGTCGTTGAATATTTCTTTTCGGTGACCAAAATACATTTAGTAGCCAAAATAGTTACTTTTGGCGACTAAAATATTAGTCGTTGTTTGTTAAATGTTGGCTACTATATAAATTAGTTGGTATAATTTAACCTTTGACGACAAACAACAAGTTTGGTCGCCAAAGGTATATAAAATTTTAGTGGGAACATTAAAAGATTGGAGCCAGTTCTTCTTAGCATTTTTGAAAACAAGGTTCTTTTTCTCTTTCTCTTTCTCTCTCCCTCTCTCTCTCACACACACACACAGACACAGACACAGACACACACAGAACCAGTCACCACCAAACCTCACCTCACTTCAGTCGTTTACCACCTTTGCTTACCGTAAGACGCACATCGCCACCACACCGCCATCGCCGCAATACGAACAGGTTCTCTCTCTCTCTCTCTCTCTCTCTCTCTCTCTCTCTCTTCTCTCTCTCTTTCCCTTCCTTTATTTCCCCATTTCTCACTCTTACTCTAGGGTTGATATTATTTATTTAGTTTAATTTCCTGTTTAGCTTGTTTTTGGTTTAATTTCTTCAAATTGCAGTAAATTTGGAGTTGCATTGGTAGATTGCCCAGCTAATTTTGTAGTTCTCTTTGTTTTTGTTAAGGGAAAAATTTGGGTTCAGTGAGGCATTTGAGTTTATCAAGGAAAAATTTGGGGTCCCTACGGTTGTGTATCCTGCTTTGGTGGGTTTAGGAGCTGGGTTGATAGCTGTCAAGTATCCTGGAATACTCTACTGAGTTTTGCTAATGTTGATAAAATTCTTCATATTGGAAAGAGGGCTTTGGTCATTAGTGCTGATTCATGGTTATTAGTGGTGATCAAGGTTTTGAAAAGCGGTTGCGGTCGCCGTAACGGTGGCAGTGACGCGGTTGCGGTTGCGGGGTGTAAAGGCCGTAGTGTAACGGTTGCGGTAACCGGAACCGTGAATTTTTTTATTTTTTGCACAGTTTGAAAAAAACTTACCGATACGCATATTTTTTTTCTATGATCATATTTATTGGGTTAAAAATAAATATTGATCAATTTTTATAAATTTTTAAGTATTTCTTATTTTTAAATCACTATAAACTGAGTTTTTTACGTTTTATTTTAATAATTAATGACTTTATATTTTACAAAAAATCAATCACTAACTATTATATATAAGATAAATAATGACAAAAGTAAAAGAATAAATAAGAGCCTAAATATATAAATATATAAATATATATACATATTTTAACCCAACCAAATAAATAATAACCACACTTATTATTATTATTATTATTTTCAAACAATATATAGATAGACACACACAAACAAAATGGTTTAGTGATAGCAGCTGAATAGAATAGCATACATCTTATAGTTTCAACAAATCAATAATATGTTCTTCATCTTCCCTCTTCTCTCTCTCTCTATCTCTTGCTCCTCTATTTTCTCTCTTTATCTTCCCTCTTCTCTCTTTTTCTATCTCTTGCTCCTCTATTTTCTCTCTTTATCTTCCCTCTTCTCTCTATCTCTCTTCTCCCATTTTCAGCTTTTTTTTATATTTTTTTTAAAGAAACAGTTTGGAACCGTTACGTAACGGTGCGTAACAGGCCGTTACGGCTGTTACGGCACCGTTACGACCGCTACAGCAGCTGCTACGGCCGACGTACCTGTGAATCTCAATCACACTGCAAAAGCGGCCGTAACGGGTGGCGGTAACCGCCAAAACCGTTACGTAACGGCGTTACGTAACGGTTGCGGCCGCTTTTTAAAACCTTGGTGGTGATAAATGTGAAGTTTAGAGTCAACCTGTTGAGATTTTGAAGTTTAATTCGAATGGTTCTTGGAAGCTGATGATAATTGTGTTTTGTTTAAATTAATTATTACAACTGTTTCTGTTACTATAAGGAAATATTGTTAATTGAAGAAATTAAGATTTAAATGATTTGTTGGATGACTCATATTCTTAATTTTGACTTTAAGGGTTAACTGCTTTTATTTATTCATTTATTTTTATTTTTTATAGTAGTGTGTCACTACTAGGTGAATCTTAATATCAAATTTATATATGAGAGAAAGTATAAAATGAGGTGTTTGAGAGCATTGAGGTGTTTAACAGTAAGAATTTTTTACGAACCAATGCTCTCAAACAATGGTTGATAAGCCCCAAGCCATCAAATGATCTCTGTTTCTTTCTTATTAACATGTCTAGTGCTTAGATGGAGTATAAATATAGTGTGAAAGTTGTGGCTGAATAAATCTGTGCCAAATAATTTTAGTGTTATTTCTTTCTTGAGTATGTGCATATGTGAAGCTTCAATCCAAAATATAGTTTTAGATGCTTTTCTTATGCCTTCTCATGCGCAATTCTAGGCAAGTGATTTCCTTGTTTCAAGTAAGAGTCATGCAGTCAAAGAGGAAAGAGAGTTAGATGATCTTGTGTACTTTAGTGATGTCTATGCAGATACAGCATCTTTACTTGAATAGGTAATTGCCTGCTTTGTCAAATACTGTTTAGGTAGATAAACTATAAACATGATTTCGGTTATTATAGATAATCCATTCTATAAGAGATGCAACCTGGGCCATTAAATCAATTTGGTTTAAGATTTATTAGTGGCATTATCAGTAAATCCAAAGCTCTTAGGTTTGAGCGGATGTTGTTTCGTGCTACAAAATGCAACATGCTTTTCAATCAGGCACCAACTGATGAACAAATCTTGGATCCTGTATCAACTAAAGTAGTCATTCTCTTATTTATATTATTATCTTTTGGTCTTTTGGGATAAATTTTCTTTCTATGTATTTTCTTACTATAGCTTATAATCTGAAAACCTTGAATATATTCTACTTCTTAATAGTATGCTTTCTTCACTAGAGTGCTATGTTGGTGTACTTCTATTGCTTTGAAGACTGTGGCCTGAATTTCTGAATTCAGCTAATTTTGCTTGTATATTGCATGTGTAGGTTGAGAAAATTGTTTTTGTAGTTTTCTTCTCGAGGGAGTAAGCAAAGACAAAAATATTGAAAATTTGTGAAGCATTTGGTGGAATTTGCTATTCTGTATCCGAAGATATAATGAAACAAAGGCAACTAACTCAAGAAGTATGCTGTTAAATTGACTGGCTGCATTTTCCTACATGCTTGCAGTGTTCATTTTATTTTTGACTGATGTTTGTGTAGCACATTATGTAGTTTAGTTTTTTTACGACAAGCAAAATATGTATGGGCCTTTTTGTCTTTATGGGATACATGTATTTATATATTTCTCATCTGTTTCAGATTTTGTGTATGATACACTGAACATGCTGAATTTTGATGTTACAAAAAAATGTCTTGTCAGAGAGGGTTAGTGTCTAATAATTGCCAAAACTCAGGTACTTTGGTCTCTTCTTATGTCATTCTTGTTTTGGGCAAAATATCTGCAGTTGCTTCCATTATTTATTACATTATTATCAAAAAAGAAAAGGTTTTATTATGTGTAGATTCATGAAATACTGCAACGGGCTACAATTGATAGCAATTCATAAGTAGGTATAATATTTCACACAATGGATGTTGTGGAACCACCTCCAACATACTTCAGAACCAACCACTTTACAAATGCATTTCAGGAAATTGTTAATGCATATGGGTAAACTAAAATATGTGTTTTTTTTTTTTTTTTTTTTTTGCGTGGACATATTTCTTTTTGTTCTTATAATGATTGTTGATCTTACAATACAAGTATCATTTTTCTTAAAAATATCTGACGAAAAAAATTTCTTATTTTGTCCATACTCCGGTTACATCACAGTAACCTTAAACAAGAATGAACCTCTTTGTGAATAAGCCAAGCCATTATGTGTTTTACGATGGGTCTCATCAGTTCTGATCCTTACCATGATTTAGAATTCATATTTGCAACTGACTACATTAATGGTGTAATTGGTGATTTGATTTTAATAGACTTACTCACCTCGATGGTCAAAGATAATTTGTTCGGAACGAGAAAATTTCTTAGTTTCTTGGAAGGTTTTGGAGGCACTAATCTAGTTTTCTTTCCTTGTAGATTGGTTTGGTTTTGAAGAAGTTGTTTGAAGATGGTATCGTGAAGCGTGAGGATTTGTTTATTACTTTCAAACTCTAGTTTGAATCAATCTTTATTACCTCCAAACTTTGGTTTGACTTTATACTCTTCATAATACTTGTCCTTTTGATATTTGTTGTGTAATTAGTTTTAATTGCTTTGTCTTTCCTTCTTTCATTTTTATTTTTTGTAGCCAATTGTGCTTGGAAATTTATACAAAGTAATTGATGCTTCTAATTGGATGCATTTTAAAATGATCTTTGTTTATTTGGAGCTTGTCTAGTATATATATATAGGACCTGTAGGGACATACGAGATTTAATTAGAGTATGTAGGGATGTCACAGCCAGCTTCCCCATGACAAATCGGACCTGTGACAACAAGCGGAATGTAATTAGCATGTGTACGCTGGGAGTTAGCGCCGAAAATGCCTTAAACTTAACCTAAAAAAGGCGTTAAGGGGGTGAAAATGTGAAACAGCCCCCGAACCACTGTACGGATGTCACAGCCACCTTCCCTGTGACAAATACGACCTATGACAATAAACGGAATGTAATTATCACGTGTATGTAGGGAGTTAGAGCCGAAAACGCCTTAAACTTAACTGAAAAAAAGGCGTTAAGGGGGCAAAATTGCAAAACTGCCCCCAAACCACCGTTCAAGTGTCACGGCTAGCTTCCCCATGACAAATAGGACCTGTGACAATATACAGAATGCAATTAGCACGCGTAGGTTGGGAATTAGAGCCGAAAATGCCTTAAACTTAATCGAAAAACGACGTTAAGGGGGCGAAAATGCGAAACAGCCGTTGAACCATTGTACGGATGTCATGGCCACCTTTTCCATGAAAAATAGGACCTGTGACAACAGACAAAATGTAATTAGCACATGTACATTGGGAGTTAGAGCCGAAAACGCCTTAAACTTAACCGAAAAAGGGCGTTAAGGGGGTGAAACTGCGAAATAGCCCCTGAATCACCGTTCAGATGTCACAGCCACCTTCCCCATGACAAATAGGACCTATGACAATAGACAAAATGTAGTTAGCACGTGTAGGTTGGGAGTTAGAGCTAAAAACGCCTTAAACTTAACCGAAAAAAGGGGTTAAGAGGGCGAAACTGCGAAACAGCCCCCGAACCACCGTTCAGATGTCACAGCCACCTTTCCTGTGACAACAAATTGAATGTAATTAGCATGTGTATGTTGGGAGTTAGAGTTGAAAACGCTTTAAACTTAACTGAAAAAGGTCGTTAAGAGGGCGAAACTGTGAAATAGCCCTCGAACCACCGTTCGGATGTCACGGCCACCTTTCCTGTGACAAATAGGACTTATGAAAATAGACGGAATGTAATTAACACGTGTATGTTGGGAGTTAGAGCTGAAAACGCCTTAAGTTTTACCGAAAAAGGGCGTTAAGGGGGACGAAACTGAGAAACAGCCCCCGAACCACCGCACGGATGTCACGACCACCTTTCCCGTGACAAATTGGACCTATGACAATAGACGAAATATAATTAGCAGGTGTAGGTTGGGAGTTAGAGCCGAAAATGCCTTAAACTTAATTGAAAAAAGGCGTTAAGGGAGCAAAACTGTGAAACAGCCCCCGAACCATCGTTTGGATGTCACGATCACCTTCTCTGTGACAAGTAGGAGCTGTGACAAGAGACAGAATGTAATTAGCACGTGTATGTTGGAAGTTAGAGCCGAAAATGTCTTAAACTTAACCGAAAAATGGCTTTAAAGGGGCAAAATTGAGAAATAACCCCCGAACCACTATACGGATGTCACAGACACCTTTCCCATGACAAATAGGACCTGTAACAAGAGACGGAATGTAATTAGCACGTGTAGGTTGGGAGTTAAAGCTGAAAACGCCTTAAACTTAATCGAAAAAGGGCGATAAGGGGGTGAAACTGCGAAACTGTGAAACAGCCCTTGAACCACCATTCAGATGTCACGGCCACTTTCCTTGTGACAAATAGGACCTGTAACAACAGACATAATGTAATTAGCACGAGTAGGTTGGGAGTTAGAGCCGAAAACGCATTAAACTTAATCGAAAAAGGGCGTTAAAGGTGCGAAAAAGCAAAACTGCCCCATAACCACTATATGGATGTCACGGCCAGCTTCCCTATGACAATAGACAATATGTAATTAGCATTCGTAGGTTGAGAGTTAGAGCCGAAAACGCATTAAACTTAACCGAAAAAGAGCGTTAAGGGGGGCGAAAATGGGAAACAGCCCCCAAACCATCGTACGAATGTCACAGCCACCTATCTTGTAACAAATAGGACCTGTGATAACACACATAATATAATTAGCAGGTGTAGGTTGGGAGTTAGAGCCAAAAACGCATTAAACTTAACTGAAAAAAGGCGTTAATGGGGCGAAGATGAAGGAGAGCGCCATGGTGGTCTCGATTTATGCCCTAAACCTCACTGAATTAGTTTTAATTCCTTCGTAAACAACCAAATCAGACCTTCAAGATGGGTTGTTGTTTTGGATTCTTATAGATGGATTGTTTCTTTAGATTCTTATAATGTCAAAATAGTTTGTTATTGTTTTGGATTTGGATTCTTACAACAAAGGATTTGTTTTTTTTTTTTTCCTTGCCTTCAAACTGTTTGATAAAATGTCTCTTAGGCTTCTCAAACTTCTAAGCCACAAGCCTAACTTATTGACAATGTAATTTGTGCTCAAACATGTACTGAATCAAGCCCACAACAACTCCAAATCTTAATCTGTTGAAGCCACTACTTGCCTATTCAAATCTTAATCTGTTAAATCCAAAATCATTCATAGTGTTTTCAATTAGCTACTTCACTAATTTTCTCTCATTTAGTCTTGTTATATGAGTTATAATAAATATTGTGCTATTCATCTTAAATTAACTGTAATAGCTAATTGATAAACTCGCTTTGTTGTTGTATAACTGATATTGTGTGTTATATCCTTACAAATCGTTATTTGCCTATTTTAGTTGAAATCTTTGAAATAACAATCTGTTAAGCTAAAAGGAATCTTTGATTGATTTTTCTTTATTTAGTCTTGCTATATCAATTGATATATTCGTTGCGTTATTTATCTAAATTTAACTGAGTTAGTTATCTAACTTTTCCTTCTCCATAAGCTAAATTACTCTGTTAAATAAATTGAACCATATTCTGTTTAAACAAAAATCAAGCTCTGCATCTTTAATTACTTACCTCATTGGTTTTTGTTACAGATTAATGATGTAGGCATGGATACAGTGATGTTTTTGGGTCAGATCGATGATGTTTGCATGGGCGCAATTTACATTATATTTTTTGTTTATGGAAAACATGTACACCTAATATGTTTTGTTTAGTATGATTTTTTTTAATTTGAATTTTAATTGTTGGTTTGGATAGTATATGTATTTGTTGGATTATACTATATTTATGGATTCTTATTTTCTTTGATGTGTATGGTTAATAGTTAAGTTTTGTATATGGTTGAAAATTGAATGCTACAAGTTGTGAAGAAATATTTTTATTGAATGGTTGAGAATTGAATAAATGAATGAATGGATGAATAATTTTGTATATGCACAGGTTCCAGGTGGTGCAAAAAATATTATAGAACAAATTAAAAAAACTAAATGAAACCTTTGGACGACTAAACAAATATCACAGGTTGGTTTTTGGCTACTAAAATTTTAGTCGCCAATTGTAAAAAAGTGAAACTTTTGACTACTAAACTTTTAGTAGCCAATTGTAAAAAAGAAACTTTTGGCTATTAAATTTTTAGTTGCCAATTCTCAAAAAGTGAAACTTTTAGCTACCAAATAGTCAGTCGCCAAACATACATGCTCAATTGGCTTGGCTACTAAACAATTTAGTCGCTAAAAGTAAAAAATATGTATATATAATTATTTTTAAAAAATATATGGCAACTAAAGTTTTAGTCGCCGATTGTCTTCTCGACGAACTATTAGTGACCAATTTGACAACCAAATATATTAGTCACCAAAAGTAATTGGCAATCAAAATAAGACTTTTGGCGACTAAAATTTTACTCACCAAAAGTAAAATTTCTTGTAGTGTCAAAACAAACAAAAGAGAGAGAGAGAGAGAATGGCAAAGCATTTCATGGAATCCCCTCATGAATTATCTCGACCAATCATTCTCTTTAGCCAACAAACTAATAATTCCCACCATCCCAAAATAAGGGTTAGGTGTGATCCAAGAGGACTTCCAGCCACAATGGTGCCAAGTCCAAAGAGACTCCCCAAGTCCTGCCACCTTGACTTTGGGTATAGGCTATTGAATGAAGAATGAAATAGTTAATCCTCGAGTTCTCCATCTTTGAATGAATTAATCCTCGAGTTCTCCATCTTTGAGAGAGGGTTTATTTTCGGACACGCCACATCATGGTTCTAACGTGTCAATCTCATATCATAATAGTTCAAACTTTACAAGTGTTCTAGGACTCTTAATTTGAAGCCAAGTACTGAGATCTCTAAGTTTATGGCTCTAAACTGTTTGGAGTCCGGTTGCAAAGGATGTCTAAGTTCATAACTTTGAACCGTTTCGACTCCAAGTATTTGCCCCGAAAATATCGTGATTTGAACTCCTTGTACTCTTCCCACCATCGATATATGGGTAGGATATTTGAATATCATACTTTAGATTTTTACTTTTTATATATAATTTAGTCAACTAATCTAAATTTTTTCTTGATTCTCATTTTAATATCCCACTCACCTTTTGAGATTCAATAACTTCTGTACGAGGGATGCTTTTTTCACATAGTTTATTGGTGTAAATTCTAATTTTTTTTACCTAATCATGAATTTATGTATTTTGTTAAATTGTTAATCAAATCCAAAGATCATATTCTCAAACAAACATAGCCTTAGAAGGCTCGTGCAACGCTTTACACTTGGCAACCAATAAAGAGGTTGAGTACCAAACCGTCGACGACTTTTTCATCTGGAGACAACCACTTCTAGGGAGGGTAACACATGTTCATGCAACAAAGTCCATGAGGCATCTGTGAATGGCAGATGAGAATAAGAGAGGGAGATGGTGACTTGTTTGTTTGTTTGATGCTGGCTTCTGAGGTGGAGAATGAACAGTTCCGACAACAAAAAAATAATGACATTTTAAGGGTTTATTACACTTTCTATCACTAAATTATTATTAAATTGTCTATTTAATTTTTAGACTATCAAGCAAATCTATTAAATTCTTAAAATATTTAATTTGAACCTATTTAATCGCTGAAAGGATTATAGAAATAAAATATAAGTCCATAAACATTACAAATAAGTAAAAGACTCTATCTAGTTAAAATTTTATTTAAAAAAAACCTTAAATTTTTATACCCTCTTTGAAAACTAAGGGTAATTTCTTCTAGCAAACTTTCTTTATAAAAGTAAAAGTGATTATCTATAGCATTTTCTTACTTATCTTGTATAATAGCTATTTGTTTGCCTTTATCTAATATTATATATCAGATTTCGTTTATAAAAATTTAAAATTTTTCTGAAATAAAATCTTAACTTGGTAAAATCTTTTACTGATTTATAATATTTATAGGCATACATGTTATTAGGCAAAATTCAATTTTCCCCCTTATGGTTAAGAGATGGAGCAGTTTACCTGTTTATAGTTTAAATATAGGCAAGATCTCTCCTATATTTTTAGACTAAAATACAACACTAAACTGTTAGGGTTAAAAATAAAGACATTTGTACTATTCTTTGTATTCTTTCCCATATTATTTTTAAATTTTAAAAAAGAAGTAGATTTATAAATTTTAAACCTAATAAAAAATAAAACTTTTCTGACCTACCAAAAAATTAATTTTTAATAAGTTTTAAACCTAATTTATAAGATTTATTATCTTTTAAGAATCTTATTTAATCTAATTTTAAATTTAATGACATAGTAAATGTATATATGCATGTCTATATACATTTATATATAACACTATATTAAGTATATATATACATATATATGCACTGGGCAAGATCATCGCTTGATCTGTCGCTGGAGATTTCGTCGCATGCTTCACTCCACCGAAGACCAAGACTTTGATAAATTTTAGTGATTCTTACTAGTTCAAAATTCAATCTTGTAAGCCCGCGACTCATCCAAAACTCGCACGTAGCCCACCTTGGCTAGGCCTGGGCCCGAGTCCAGCCCGAGACCCTAGGCCTGGGCCGGGACTTAGGCCATCTATTTTGAAACCCGGCCTAACAGGCCTAAATTTTTTTCCTATATATATATATATAATATATAATTATTCATTTTATTTCATTTTTTCCGAGAAAGACTGTCACACCTTATAATTAAATAAGAAAATGATATAATTTCATATTTTTTGAGTCATAATTACAAACATAATATAACCAAATATCTCATTAATCATAACTAAAATAATATCATAACTTAAGAAGAAAATTAGTCATAATTAAAGTAGAAAATGACATAACTTGATACTTAGTCATACACTACAAGAAATTACACTTTTGCCAACTAAAAATTTGGTCGGCAAAAGTCCATTTTTAGTCGACAAAAGTTATTCGCAACCAATTTTTTTGGTCGCCACTTTGGTCACCAATTGAGGGTCGGCAAAAATAATTGGTGACCAAAACTTTTGTTAGTCAGGAAAAAGTTAGATTTGCCGACTAAATTTTTGGTCGCTAAATATATCATTACCGCGACTAATTCATTTAGTCGCTAAAACACTTTGGTCGCGAAAAGTGATATTTTTCCGACCAAATATGTTTGTCGTCAAAAGCAAAAAATCGGCGACCAACTATTTTCGTCGCCAAAAGTTGAGGAATTGCCAACTAATAATTTAGTCGCCAAAAGGTAAGGAATTGCCTACCAATGATTTTGGTCTCAAAAGTGTAGAATTTGTCGACCAATTATTTAGTCGCCAAAACTTTTCTCAACCGAACTTTACAATCATTCCATTCAAAACATTAATTGAGACAAGTTTTAAACATCCATCCATTGAAAACCAGTAAGTAATTGAACAAAAATTAAAGGAAAAATCATTAAAGGAATCCAAAAAAAATTCTAAAACAGGAAGGAATATATATGGTTTTGAAGCATCAGCCTTGTGCTTGATCGTTTTTGGAAGTCACCTACAAATAAAATAAGAAAAGTTAGAATCTAGAAAAACATCCAAAATGAAGTATTCTCATAAAAAAAAATTAACCATATGGCAAAAAATTTATATGATTACATTACAAACATTTGATGATGACTATGTTAGACAATCTTCACTGTATTTAAATAGTTTAAATTCTGTTGTGTACTAAACAACAACCAGAATATAAAGAAATAAAAGAAATGAGAGAATTTGTTTGATTATAAAAATCAAACTAGAAATAAAAATAAATAAATAAAAACAGATTTTATTTTGTTACAAAAACAAAATTAAAATCTGATTTAAATAAATATTAATAGCACCTAAAATAAATTAAATAACTTACTTTATTAATTGCAAACCTGTTTGAACAGGTATGAACCTGTTGGTTTTGAATTCAAACAGATTTGAATCTGTTGGGCTCATAATTCAAACAAATAAAAAACGGGAAGGGCCCTGTTTGGATGTACAGTAAAACCGGACCAGATTATTTCCGGTTTAATTTGAATTCTGGATTTTATTTTACCAAAAATAAAATAAAATTCAAATGTTTTTAGCCCAAAAAGATTAGTATTGGGTCAAATAAGCCCAACCCAACCACGCACCACGCACCTGCGTCCAAGCCCAGCCCTGCCCGCTCGATGGACCGGACGGACGGCGACGGCGGCGCGCGCGCACGTGTGTGGTGATTTTTGGGTCCAATGGGTCTAGCCCATTTTGCCCATAACCTCTCCCTCTAAAACACTTGGGTACCCCTTGGGGCACACTCCAAGTTCTAATCCCATGCCTTATAAACCCATTCAAAATTTCCCACCAAATCAATGTGGGACAAGCCATTTTACAACCTTAAGGAATTTCCACCAAACTTAATTTCCATGGAGCACACTTTGGCTTCAATTTCTCATTCACTCAGTAATGATTTTGAGCAACCAAATATACCACGTGAATCACAACGCGGCATAGAACGCGTTACCACTTTGATCCACGAAAATCGACGCTCGGGGCCCACCTAAAAAATAGGCCAAACTTAGGAAAAAATTCTAGTTTTACCTAGAATTTTATAACCATTTCCAACAGAGTATACCACAATTAAGTATTGGCATACCTGAACAATGAGACAAAGCAGCTCAGCAAGTCTCGCCAAGGTAATCCTTCAGTAATACTTTGAGACAACAAGGATGTTCTGCAAGAAACAATAATGTCTTGTAGATGAACCATTACAACATATAATTGAAATATATAATTGAACATGAGTGAAAGATTGCATGTTCTATTACTCTCTGTCTCAAATCTTCAGCTACTCTGTTACCTAAAGAACCACCAAGCAT